TGCTGTCACCCCACTGGAGAAAGTCTCAGAGGCAAATGGAACACAGACGGAGGCCACCCTCTCTGTCCCCTGTGACTACAGTCCAGCTTGTTTTTGTGGGGTGAAAGACAAAGGTCTACTTCCTGAGGACAATAGGCGCAGCCCTTATGGCATCTGGCATCGGGAGGTGGACAAAGTCCAATCTGAAAGGCCCTAGGGTCGGGGAGCTGCCGATACCTACTCACCATCACCTGAGGCAGAATATTCCAGAGATCTCCAACTCTGACCCCAGCAAGGTCCACACCCAGCGGGCCCTCACTGCCCTTCCTCCCTGCCCAGCTCACCCGCCATGTCCCTCTTCCACAGACCCTCCTCCCTGAGCGCCTGCCCAAGATGCATTGGCTTGGTGAGCTCCCTACCGGTTGCCAGGTTTCCTATGGCTTAATTAAGTTTTAATCTCCAGTGACTCACTAATAAAATTTGGCCTCATCCTAAAGAATGATGTCCACAAAATTATATCCACAGTGTGCTTTTTATTCATATTGATAGACACAGAAATAAACACACACCTGTTAAAAAGATGTCTATTCAAGTACCAGTTAAAAGCAGCTAACATTCCACCAGGGATATGTGTCCCAAATTCCAGGAAAATCAGACCTATATATACTTAAGGACCCCCAGAACCACGTTTGCATGTGAGGTTGTCATGAGTCCACTTGACAAGGAGGCATGTGAGCCTCGGAGGTCACCTCCCCCAAGGGCAGACTGCGGTGAGAGAGTTCCAGGCCAGCACTCTGCTGGGACTCCCATCAGAGGGGCCAGCCATGGCCTTCACTCTGCCGCAAGCCCTGTTCCCTTGCACATTTGCATTGTCATACACAGGCCAGCAGTGGCCTCTGGGGCACCAGGGAGTGGACAATTCGTCTTATGCTCATATAATCAAGACACTGCATGAGACACTGCATGAGGAGGCCAGGCCTCCAAGTTGTCTTAAAGAAGCACATTCTAATTCCTTCTGAGGCAAAGCTTCTTCATGCCCCCGTGGCCAACAGGGCTGGGTCTGATTTCTGCAGCCAAGACCCCCATCAAGGGTCCTCGATGACCAGAGCAGGAATCCACCCGGATTCACTTAAAGGAAAAAGTCATTGGAAAGATGTGGGAAAGCTTCCAGACCAGAGGAAAAGCTGAAACAAAAGAGTCTGATCTCAGAAGGAGCCAGATACCAAGATTCCACACAGCTGGAACTCATGGGCCATCTCAGCCAGGACCCTGCAGGTGAGCCATGCTCCCTCAGTCACTGTCTTCGTGTGACTCCCTTGAGATCTGAGCTCCAGGCACAGGCTCTGGTCTGTGTCCTTCTCCTGGCTGGTGATGGGCAGAACACTGTGACTGACAACCTCACCAATCCTGCCCGTGGCACAAGAGGGTGTCCACAAAGGAGCATCAGGCTGCGTTATCATCACAAAGAGGGATGAGGCTGGGAGACCAAATCCAGGCACTCAAGGCCACCAGCCTCAGCACCCTCAGTGCACACTTCTCACTCTGGCAGCTCTAGGTTCCTATCAGAGCCGCAAGGTGATGGAGGTCCTGTCACGGATATTTTCCAATAACTGGCTAGCCTAAAGGGGGTGGGGAAGCCCCCCAAAAGTGTCTTGGCCCACCCGTGGTTCTGCCTTCTGACAGTTATCCAGCACCTTGGTGCTGACAGAGGACGGAGGAGATTTCTGAAGGTCCTGCTCACTCTCCTTGAAGCCTCTGCCATGCTCATTTCAGAGATTGGGCACAGAGTCCCCCGACCCTGCAGGCCCTTCAGCAAATGCCGCTTTGGGCCTCCATCCACCAGGTGATGCAATCTTTCTCCCTGGCCCCTTGAACCTGGGCTGGCCCTAAGCTGTGCTTTGACTCATAAAATGCAGTGGAAAGAACATCGTGTGACTTCTCCGCTACAACCCAAAGACCTACAGCTTTCATTTGCTCGCTTGGGCCTGACACTTGAGAAATACTACATGTTACAGACTGCATTGTGTCCCCATAAAACTTATGTTGAAACCCTAACCTGGTGTGGCAGTATTTGGCGACAGAGCCTCTAAGGAGGAAGGAACTAAGATTAAATGAGATCATCATGGTGGGATCCTATTCCACTGGGACCGTCACCTTCAGGAGAAGAGGAAGAGACACCAGGACAGTGAGCACACAGAGAAGCAGCCGTGTGGGGACAGAGAGAAGGAGGCCACTTTGCCATCACCTTGATCTTGGACTTCCAGTCCCCAGAACTGCAAGAAAATTACCTTCTGTTGTTTAAGCCATCCGGACTGTGCTGTGCTTTTGTTTCAGCTCAGGCAGACTGACACATTAATCAATCTTAAATTGATGGACTATCTCTTGATTGATGGATTAATCCCTTTGATTGGCAGATCAGTCCTCTTCCTCCTCCTCCTCCCTTTGCACCCTTTTCTTGATGGAATCATCCCAGCACTTAAATGTCACCTATTTGTTCAAAATTTATCTTGAATCTATCTCCTTCTCTCCAGCAACACCGCTATCACCTTAATTCAAGCCAACCTCGTCTCTTGCTTAGTGTATGAGTCAGCAATTGCCATGATCCTGCTGCAAGACAAACACCCCCCCCCAATCCCAGTGACTTGCCACTGCAAGCATTTGTTTTTCTTGCAAAGAGGTTTGTAGATCATCTGGGACATTTATTTGGATTAAGGGGCAAGTTCTTTTCTCTAGTTTTCATTGTTCTCTGGGAACCTAGCTCTGGTCCAAGAGGCTCTTCTTGTCATGACAGGTGGCAAATGCATGAGTGTTATCAAACAAATTATGCAAGTGCTTCTCCGGCCTCTGCTTGGGTCACATCCAAGTCCTATAAGCTAAGCCTAAAAACCATGGGGTGGAAAAATAATTTCCTCCCATGGAGAGGAGCTATGGCAAGGATCATGAAGAAGGAAGGAAATGAAGGTGACTAGTACAACCTTCCACACCCAGGCTACTGTGAGGGCCTCTTCAATGGGCATCTCGCCCAAAGCCACTGCAAGAACCATCTTTATTTTTTCAAGGCTGGGAATGGAATCCAGGGCCTTGCTCGAGCTCAACAAAACCTCTACCACGGAGCTGCTTCCCCCACCCACAGCCATCATTTAAAAGAAAAATTCAATCTAGTCACTTTTCTGCTTAAAACCTCTTGGTGGCCTCCCACTGCCCAGACGAAAATGTCCAGATTCTTACTGTTGCCGGGGAGGTCCTCGTGACCCGGCACCCGCATGCCGCCTGCGCCATCCACCCCTTACTCTCCTCCAGCCGCGCTGCCCCCCTTTTGGATCCCTGAACGCATCAGGAGGCCCCCTGCTCTGGGCCCTCACCCTTCTCCTTCCTCCCCCTGGAAGTCCTTCTCCCCGGCTGCTTCCTTTCTGGACCTGCAGCTCTCTGCTGAGACGTCTTCTGCAGGAAGACCTTCCCTGCCTCTCTGCCACCTGCTCCATTGGATCCTCCTCTTACACATTCTCCTCACTTCCTGATGGGAGCTGAGCTGAGTCCCGCACCAAGTCACACAGTGATGCCCTAATGCCCAGGAGCTCAGAATGGGACTGTATTTGGAAACAGGGTCTTACGGAAGTAATTAAGTTAAAATGAGGTCACTAGGGTAAGCCCTAATCCAATATGCCTGGTGTCATTAAAACAAGATTAGGTCACACACACACACACACACACACACACACACACACTATGCAAAGTCACAGGGAGAAGGTGGCTATCTGTAAGCCATGGAGAGAGGACTCAGAAGAAACCAGTCAGTCAGGTGTGGTGGTACTCACCTGTCATCCAGCTACTCGGGAGGCTGAGATATCAGGATCACAAATTCAAGGCCAGCCTTAGTAACTTAATGAGACCCTGTCTCAAAATAAAAGATAAAAATGGCTGGGGATGTGGCTCAGTGGTAAAGCACCCCTGGGTTCAGTCCTCAGTATCAAAAACAACAACAACAACAAAACTCAAAACAAACAAACACAGAAGAAACTAGCCCTGCTGAGCCCTTGACCTGGGGTCTCTGGCCTTCAGAATGGTGAGAATAAATTTCTCCTTTTTAAGCCACCCAGAATGTGGCAAACTGGTCCACTTCATTTCCCCCATGGCCTGGCTCTCGATGCTAAGCCCATGTCCCCTGTGTGATCTCGTGTGTGTCCCTGTGCTTCCCACGAGACTGGGCACTCTGCAGGGTCCACATCTATTTGCCCTCCCAGGGTGCCTTGCACATAGTAGGAATTCAAAAATCATTGGAAAAAAAATGAGCGAGTGAACAAATGAGGCTCTTCCAAGGGGTAAAGAAGAGGGAGGCGGGAGAGCGCAGGCCCACAGCTCCCCAAAAAACCCTCCCTGAGCAGAGCTGCTCAACTGTGAGACTCGCAATTTGATTTACTCCCCGGTGACATCATAGCCATCACCATGGCAACACCCAGCGATGCCTGTCTGCCAGACAAAGTCTCCTCCATCAGTAAAGGGCAAATGGATGCCCAGGATGGAAAGGAGCCATTTGTGAGGCTCAGGTGGCAGCCTGCCCCCGCCCTTGCAGCCGGGGCCTGGGGAGCTGCTGCTGGCACCCACATGTGCCCCTCTGGGTGCAGCCAGGACTGCCCTCCTGCCATGGAGATTTCTTCACCGTTGAGATGGGCCACTCAGCCAAGAGCACAAGATTAGCCTCCAGGCCTGTGTGACTGGTTTGCCTGCAGAACCTGCCCCTCACCCCCAAAACACCTGAGCACTAAA